TCCGGCTTGGCCACGTGCAGGATCTCCACGTTGCTGCTCTCCATGCCGACGGCCAGCCACTCCCCCGAGGGACAGTAACCCAGCGAGAAGATCTGGGGAGAAGGCAGAGTCAGGCCCCAGGAAACGGGTCCCTGCCCAGCTGGCTCTCTGGGGGAGGGGAGAGCACAGCGCCTCCCCCCGCACCCACTCGGGCTCTGCAGTGCCCCGTCACCCACCTACCTGGGAGCTGAAATCGTGCTGCTGCAGTTGGCGCCCCTCCCGCAGGTCCCAGCACCGCACCGTGTTATCCAGCCCCCCCGTCCACAGCTTGGTGCCGTCGTTGGAGATATCGATGCAGCTGGCGCCGTCCGTGTGGCCCTGGAACTGCCTGGAGGGGAGAGCGCGGCCGTCAGGCACCGTCGCCTGCTGCAGGTTTGGGTCCTGTGGCCAGGGGGCAGGCAGCACCTCCCCACTCCAGCGCTAGCCAGCCGCACCGCATTGCAGCCTGGGAAGGGATGCCCAGCAGGTGAGTGGCAGGCGCTCACCTGACCAGAGTCTGGTTCTGCAGGTCCCACACCAGCAGCCCAGGCACCCCTAAGTCTGACCGTCGCCAGCCAGCAACGAGAGGCAAAGGTCATCCAGCTGATCCCAGCAGCATGCTGTACAGGGAAGGCCCTGCGAGATACATGTGTGTGTGGGGGGGGGGGGGGGGGCTCACCTGACCATCGTCTGGTTCTGCAGGTCCCACACCACGATGTTGCCGTCGCTGCAGCAGGAGAAGCAGACCTTGGCGTCGGGGCTGATGGCCAGGGCGTAGCAGGCGGGCGCCGAGGAGGTCAGCTCCGCCTTGATGCGGGGGGTGGGCGCGGCCAGGTCCCAGATGGACAAGGTGCTGGCCTCCCCCCCCACGATGAGGCTGCGCCCGTCCGGGAGGAGCTTGCAGGAGCGGATGTAGTTGTCGCGGTTCTGGGGAAGGGAGAGGAGATGGAGCGGAGGGGTCAGCTATGGCCAGTCGCGGCCTCCCATGGGAGAAATCCCAGCGGATGGGCCCATGTGGGCGGTGGGAAGAGCCCTGCAGCCCACACCCTCTGGAGCTTGGCTTCCAGCAGCGAACACATGCGCCTGGGGGCCCAAGAGGGGGCCTTCACTTTATTAGCACATGATTGTTAGTGCTTCATGCCCACAGCATCGGCTCTCCCCAGCAGCTGCTCGACAGACACGGCTGGTTCTGGCACATGAACAAGAGGAGCAATCATGCAAGAGCCTGTGGGATGGGGCTCCTGGCCAGGAGCAGATTAGTCAGGAGGGACACAGGCCCTTCTCCCAAGTGGGCAGGGCTAGTGGTCAGGACACTGGAGTAGACCTGGAGTCTATTCCCAGCTCTGCCACAGACTCCACATCTGACCTTGGTCAAGTCACTTAGCCTCGCCGTGCCTCAGTTTCCTCACCTGTAAAATGGTGAGGGCAGCACTTCCCTGCCTCAAAGGTGGTCATAGATTTTTAAGGCCAGAATGGGCCACTATGTTCATCTAGTCTAGCCTCCTTCCTAACACAGAACAGAGAACCTTACCAATAATATATGTACTACCTACAATTACTAAAATACAGATTTCCCCTCTCCTGAGTTTCCAATGCAGCTTGATGTGATCATGACTCATCCGCTTCCTTGTTTATGCATCAGTATCCTCAAGGTCAGCACAACTCCGGGAAGAAGATTTGTTACCAGACTGCTGCCTTAAGGCCAGCAGGAAAAGATAGCTCTGGATTTTGTTGTTAGGGACATATTTGAAATCTAGTCAATGTTAAAAAGAATTCCAGGTACTGTCCCCGCTTCAGTGGCCCTGGAATCCCATTTTCCAGGATGTCTCTCTCTCTCATTAAACAAGGAAATAAAGACCCCACAAGCAAAAGCAGAAACTGACTACGGCCCATCCTGCAAACACTTATGCAAGTGCTTAGCTTTAAGCACATGCGTGAGTATTTGCAGGACCAGGGCCTCAAGGACTATAAATCCAGGGGAAAACAGTGAAACTGGTTACGCACATCGCTGGCAAAACAGACCGACTCATTTCCTGTCCGCAACAGTAATCAGTTCACCGTGTCCTTCTGACATCTCAGCAAGGGAATAGTGCGGCTACATTTTCATTCTCACCAGATCAGAATGAATCTGGACAGAGCTTTGAAAACCATGTGAACCCACCCCGATGCACAGGCCAAAGCTGGGCCGTGTGTGTACCATAGTTGTGTGTGTTCACACAACACTGGGCCTGTGTGTGTTCCTCAGTTGGGGTGCATGCTACTGAAGGATTTTTTGCCCTTTGTACATGCATAGAAGCTTTTATCTAAGGATCCGAGAGTGCTTTATAATACCACCCAGCCCTTTTCATCCACAGAGCTTAAAGCACTTGACAAAAGAAGGTCAGTATCATCACCCGTTTTATAGATGGGGAAACCGAGGCATAGGGAGGCAGCGTGACTTGCCTGTGGTGACCCAGCAGGCTAGTGGCAGAGCACGGAACAGAACCCAGCCCCCTCCCCAAGACCCAATCCAGTGCACAACGCACTAAAGCCATGCTGCTTGATTCAAGGCCCAGCTCGCTAAGGAAGTAGGCGCAGTTATATTAGCCCCAATTTACAGATGGGTAAACTAAAGGCACAAACATCAAGTAATTTGTGCAAGGTGTAAAGGGAGGTGAAATTTGCGGGCGGGGTAAGACATGGAGCAGGGTTTAAATCTATGTCCATTAATTTTTTTTTTTAAAACTGACTCACTGGGACACACAAATGCCTACACGCTACTGCCAGAGGATGAAATGCACTGACAGGGAGATACCAAGATATTCTGATTACGGGGGCCAGGGAAGCACCTAGACAGAAATACCCAGGCTGCTACTAGCCACCAGCGGTCACAAAATCGAAGTACCAAGTGGCAAAGCTACTGAGCCCAAATCCTCTTTGTGGAGTTTCTACTGAATTAACGTCCTGTCTGAAACTGTCACATTAGCCCAGTGGCCACACCCCACCCCAAAGGCGGCAGCCAGAAGCGATGGGATGAGGGGGAATATTCAGGCTAATTTGCAGACAACTTCCCATGTGTTCCTCTGGGAGGGAGCTTTGCACCGAGGATCACTACACCTGCAGTTCACTGGGTCTCCGGGAGCACCTCCCTTTACTCATCTCGGGGAGCTGCTTAAATACAAGATGCCCATCGAAATGCTTCCCTAAACCGGACACATCCATGTGTTCTCCATCTGCATCCAGCCCAGCAGGGTCTGTCCCCCTCGAGGCTGCAGTAGAATTCCGAGGACATAAAGAACCAAGACGCCAAACTGGGTCAGACCAATGGTCCATTTAACCCAGTACCAGAGCATCAGGGGAGCGTGTCCAGAACAGGACAGCTGGAGTGATCCACCCCGGTCTTCCTCTCCTGGCCGTCAGAGGTTTAGGGCTGACCCGAGCACGGGGTTGTATCCCTGGCCATCTTGGCCAATAGCCATTGATGGCCCTAACCTCCATGAACTTAACCGGGTTCAAAAAAGAACTAGATATTTGGCCAGAACAACATCCCCTGGCAGTGAGTTCCACAGGTTGATTGTGCATTGCACTTCCTTCCATTTGTATTAAACCTGCTGCCTACTAATTCCATCAGGTGACTCCTGGGTTGTGTGTGTTATGTGAAGGGGTAAAACAACACTTCTCCAAATCACTTTCTCTACACCGGTCATGACTTTATAGATCTCTCTCATATCCCCTTTTTAAGCCGACTAATCCATTTCTGCTTCTCTTGCTCTGCCTTCCAACCCTTGCCCTTACCAGGCAGTCCAGCTGCGCCACGGGCGTCTTGGTCCCAGGCTGCCCCACGTCCCACACCTTCACGCAGCCCTTGCCCCCCGTGTAGACGTGCTGGGTGGAGTTGCTGATGGTGACGGCGCAGACCACCTCGCCGTGGGTCAGGGTGTGGAGCTGGCGGGCGTGCCGGGGGATGCCGGTGCCGAT